TTTGTAATTATAAAACTCGTACTACAGCTTAAGTTTACTACGTTTACCTGACTAAAATATTGACACATCTTAGCCTATACAACTTAGTTAATTTGATTCGCCGCAATATTTGGATATAATGAATTAGGTACCTTCCCTGTTTTCTGTACCCTTAGTACGAATCCATATCGAATTCGTATAGTTTGTGAGTCCGAAATGTCATTGTCAAATTTGTACTGATTTTTAGTTCTAGTTACGTCCGTTGTGGCGCTGCTGTTCAAGTTTCCATACAAAATTTGGCAAGGACATTCCGGACTCGCAAACTATTCAAATTCGATATGGGTTCGTGCTGAGGGTACTGGCCAAAATATTGACACACCTTAGCCTATCCAACTTATTTAATTTGATTTGCCGCAATATTTGGTTATAAGGATTAACTTCATTGTTTTCTGTTTTTATCAATTTACTTAATATCAGGTTTACATACATGTAATTCACAAAGAGGAGCTCGATGGTGCAAGTGGTTAACGCGTTGGGCTGCGATCGCTGAAGTTAAGCAACTTCCGCAGTGGTCGATCATTGGATGGGTGACCAAAAATCTTCTCTCTCGAGTTCCTCCGTGCTTCGGAAGGCAGGTTAAACCGTTGGTCCCGGCTTCATCTGCAGTCGTTAACACCCGTCCGCACTGGGCCCGCGTGGTGGGTCATGGCCCAATCTCCCTATTCCATCCATAGGGAAGGCCTGTGCCCCAGCAGTGGGGACATAGGACAATAGGCTGATGATGATAAATGCACAAAAGATCTATGAAACGTCTGTGCCAGTAATTTATAAATTACCGAAACATGTATTTCATGTTGATTCATTATGTATTTATTATTGATTTCTTTTCCTTGATCAAAATCTGGCAAAAGGAATCAATGCAGATTTAGAATTGTATCTTAAAGGCCTGACGTCAGACCCGTCTTTCCCCGCGATCGATAGGGGCCCAACTCAGATCACAAATACAAAGTCCCTAGTTCCTGTTAGATCACCAAACGAGGGTCATAGGGGCCGCATTATCCTAATATTCCCGGGGCCTCCAATAGGTCAAAGACGGCACTGCCTGACGTGATTAAAAAGTCAGAATTTAAAACAATATTTTGTGCCAATGGAAAAGGTATTGCGAGTTACTAAGAATTTTCATAACTGATTGATCATAAAGGGCTATGTTCTGTGATAGTAACAAAATTGAAAGGAAAAAATCCAGTCAGGTGGAAACAATTAGTGATATCCGAGGAAACTATGATTCTTCCTTTTCATCTCTCTGCGATTTTATAGGTACGGATATTTATAATGGCATATTAAGAATAACTCATGCTAGGCCGTGTCGGGCCCGAGCCGAGATTCAGCCGTAGCATGGTCACCGAGCCGGTTCCGTGTCTGTAATTTACAAAGACGAGCCTCGGCTGAGCCATTAAGCCAATATCAATCAATATCTTTTTAGATTATGTAATGAAAGGTGACTTAATTAATCATCTCCGAAGTAATTTTTCAACTTGAGAACTCTGTAATCATAATAATATAGGAGGACTAGCTGTCCCAGCGAACTTCGTACCGCCATAAAAAAATAGGGGTTGGTGGTAGAAGGGCGAAAATTTTGGGTTATATTTATTTTTGTATGATGTATCATAAAAAAATAAAAAAAATATCTAAAATTGAAAAAAAAAATTAGGGGTGGATTACCCTTCACATTTAGGGGGATAAAAAATAGATGTTGTCCGATTCTCAGACCTACTAAATATGCATATAAAATTTCACGAAAATCGGTCGAGCCGTTTCGGAGGAGTTTAACCACAAACACCGCGACACGAGAATTTTATATATTAGATAAAACAGCCCTTGCTGAGTTTCTTGCCGGTTCATCTCAGTACAAGGTCTCCCGCCGAAGATTTACGAACCTATAGCGTAGTCCAACCCATTGATGAGAGCTTGTAGCAGCCTTAAATGATTTTGAAAAAGTTGACCGTGCTCGCCCGATTCTCGGGTCGGATCCGGACGGTCTAGCGTGAGTCATCCTTAAGGGCACAGCGTTCGAATCGGAACTTGTTATTGCAGAACTTTTTGTATTACCCTCCTGGGTGCCATAAATGAAACTGTTATGAGGGCTCCTGATTAAACTCCATCGGCTAAGCACTTTACTGTGAGCAGAATGTAAAACTCGTATAGGTCGATATTATTTTTGTATACGTGTAAAGATTTATGGATAAATTTACTTTCTTCATCATCGTCACGACGACCCCATGGCCGAGTGGTTTGTACGCCGGGTTTAAAGGTGTCGCCTACTTGAATGGTCCCAGGTTCGAATCCTGGTGAGAGCAGATGTGTGTATGTTGATTGCAATCATTTGCCAGCCATGGATGTTTAATACGTATTTCTATATAAATATACTTCTTCTTTGTCTCACTCGTGGCACAGTGGTCGTGGCCGTTTCTTCAGCGTCATCGGCGGTTTCAGTGGCGGATAAATATACTTATCTATGTATAATATGTATTATATCCGTTAGTAACCCTAGTCTAGGGATGTCGAAAGTTGAAAAAAATATCAATACATCGATCTTTTAAAAAATATCAATATCGGCTTCGATATATCGCGAAAAAAACATCGATATATCGATATATCGGACCAATTTTCCCAAAAATATCGTACAGTAGCTCACGAAATATGACACGCGGAATAATAATGGAACGAAAATTATCTCCTTAAAAGTAGACCCTATTTTCGAATAGTGAAAAAGATTGCAGGGCCTTTCCGGTGCCATCTTTCGTAAACAAGACTAGATAGTCACACACTTCCACAGAATATAATGGAATTCAGCACAATAAATTCACCAGCGAAACAGTTTTACAAATCATAGACAATACTAAATACAGCACAGATCATAGATATGTTGAATATCATTAATCTGAGATCCAGTTACGATTTTTCCAGACACGAATTTAGTTAGATCGTGAAATGCCGCTAATAATAAAACAAATATCGTTTTTGATACGAATTTCGATATTGGTTATTTTGTATCGATGTATCGATATATCGAATCAAAATATATCGGCAAAAAATATCGATATATCGATCAAAAAATATCGATATATCGATACATCGATATATTTTCAACAAGCCTACCCTAGTCTCTAGTAACCCATAACACAAGCCTAAAGTGCTTACTTTGACGCTAGGCTAATTGATGTGAAATTGAAAATATTATTATTATCAGCCTATTAATGTCCACACTTCCAGCAGTGTGGACATTAATGTCATGGCCCCAGGGTCATGACCCTTCAAGCGAGCCTAGTGCGTATCGGCTCGTATATGTACCACTAATGTCTATAGATGTACCCGGAATCACAGGTTTATCGTGCCTTCCGAAGCACGGAGGAACTCGAGATAGTAAATTTTTGGTCACCCATCCAATGACCAACCACTGCGAAATTTGCAACGATCGCAGCCGAACGTGCTAACCACTTGCGCCATCGAGCTGGGACCAAAAACTTATTAACTCCAGCTCCTCCGTGCTTCGGAAGGCACGTTAAGCCTTTGGTCCCGGCTGCATCTGCAGTCATTAGCACCAACCGATACGCACTGAGTCCGCGTGGTGGGGTGAACCCATGACTCATAGCCCATCTCCCTATTCCATCCATAGGTAAGGCTTGTGTCCCAGCAGTGGGATCTTTAATAGGCAGATGGTGATGATTCCTTGCTATCGAATTTAAAAGGGAATGTCCTGTTGTTTAACTTAAAAAGGTACCTATTTTTCTTTATCTAAAATTGAATCTTATGCCCATAAAACATTGATGGAGATATTGTCATAAAAATTCTAACAACGTCCTCGAAAAGTCAAAGTTTGAGGCGAGGCAGGTGTGCGAGTACTATAAATAGAAAAATACCTTTTTTATACACATTTTTGTGAGTTTTATTACTGTTTGTTGCTAATTTTACTTGTACGTTTTGTTTTACTTTTTGTTATATGTCTGTTTTCATTTTATGTGTATGTTATGTGTCAACAATAAAAACATTTTTTTTCTTTTTGTATATATAACTATGAACGTCTACATAAATTATCCACAGACAGGAAACATTGATGTTAAATTGACTTTTATCAAATAACATCAAAATGGAATTTGTATGATTTAATCTAGGTTTAGGCTTCTAAAAGTCAAAAGCTATCTGTGAGTAAATCTTTAGGTGGCCATTATTTTGAGTTTACTGTCGAATCAGTTAGGTCGGGAAATTCTTTAAAAGATTTTAAATGGTATGAATGGTATTTAATAACAATACGCCTGAGGTTATTAAACTTCTTTGCATACCGCCCACTCTATGAATCGATAACTTTCTAGCTTCCCGAAACATTTTTTAACATTTAAAAAAAAATTGGTGCGTGTACTTATGTAGGCGCGTGAGAAGTTATCCTTCTTTGGCATCGTTTAAAATTAGTTTTTAATTGCATGCAAATAATTAATTACAATAAATTAATAAAAAGTCTGGAAAAGGACACAGTCAATAAAGTTCAGTTTTAATTTGAAAAAATAAATAAATAATCAAAATATTCAATTAAAATCGCTACTGAATATAATTTATTAGAACATATGTGATTTGCACTTGTATGAAACTCAAACACGTTTTCCGAATATACAAACTAGAAACATGTGGATAAATATTATAAATATGAATACCTATAACTGTTACTTTATTACAAAAAATAAAGATGTGGTTTTTGGTTCTACTACACCTATGGTCAAGAGATGGCGCTGTAGTCTCCTGAATCGCGCTTTGGTTCCGTTGTTCCAGATTAATAAATACTTTTGATAGGCCTTCACAATGCAGTCGTTAGCACCCACTAAATAGATATTCTATTTCTATTTTGTTGGTAGATTTTCTTAATGTGCGGTAAACTCGCTAAAGCGACCAACTTCATGCTGTTAAAATTTTGTGTTACAGTGATGCGCGCGCATCTTAAAATTGCACTCTCATCATTTTTTCATAACGCGCCTAAAGAAGTATAACTTCAAAAAAAGGGATTTGTATATTTACGCAAAAATGCGCTATCAGAAAACAGACTGAAAAAAATGGCCGCCGAGGACTTGGACACAGACTCAACGCTAATAGAGTCTAATAGTCCTTATTTAAATCTGATCGAGCGCGCACCAGTTTTACCACCTAGTCACATTAATTCTATTTTCTTCGTCGTCACCCTCGTTCTTTCTCCTGTTCACCGGGGGACCGGTGTCCTCAGTTGTTCGGGGGGCATTATGTACGTGGGACTTTTAATTTCTAGTGTGTGTTACACGATGAAGTTGTAAGCGATCTATTTTGGCGAATAAAAAATTCCGCGGACTAAGTCCCTTGTCTGTGCAGGCCATAATAGGAATGAAATATTTTATGAAACTGGGACCTTAAAAAAAGCATTTGTTATAATTTTAATTTTTAAGCATGTACCTGCTCGATGTTTTGAGCTAAAGTAAATATTACTATAAAAGAGTATTTAATCAAAAATAACAATCCGATGTTCTCTGGGCAGCTAAACGCCACTTGCTACCCTTCAGCGTTCAGTTTAGGAACGCTGTTGTCCTTTGGCAAAGGCAACTATTTATAATTAAATCTGTTTCCGAGTAACTAAAACACTGGGTTTCTATTTTATGCCATTCCTGAGGTACTCGGTTTGATACCCAGTCTACAGTCGATCAATATAGAAAAACTATATTTTCTATATGGTTTTGAATCGGGGCGTTTGAATAGTATATCAAATACTTTACTGGTTTCATTTAGGTTTAGTTATATTTATTCTAGCTTATTCTTCTTCTTATTATTCTTATTCTAGGTATTCTAGCTTATCGTGAGGGGTTAACTGAAAAGGAGACTGATAAAATGAGTAAGAGAGCAGAAATTCTGCGAAAGCTGTCTCTTCATATTTTATAATAACTCATATAAATATTTGCAATTGTTATTATTTTCAAATCTAGATTAAGTTTACTCGGTGAAGACACTCTACGTCTACGATACACAATTATCAGTATGATCAATAAAGCTGTTAAGTCTATTAAACTTCAAGATGAAATTTCTCCACTCACAAAGCGACATTTGAGTTGCTCAACTTATCAGTCTCATCAGCCACGTCGTTTAAATGAAAATGCAAATTCTAAGAAAATACTAATATAACATTTATTTCATCTTATACATCTTAAGACTACTTTAGAGATAAAATTAAGTCTGTATCAGTCACGTTTGGCTACGGATCATCGCAAACATTCTCGATAACATTACATCATGCAATGTTTCCAAATGTCACACTACAATCATTGCTATCAACAACACTCTATCCTTAGAACCTCAACTATTCGATGTAACATAATATGTACAAGATCACAAATTTTATTTTTACATAAATTATCACTTTTGTCAACGTTGTTATGATTCGACGAAATCTTTTCTAGATGTTTCGGTGTCAGATTTGCTTATGTTTACGTGAATGGTTATTGCTTCGTCGTTCTCAGATTTCATAATCACATCGTTCCATTGCACTTCAGCTTTCTTACCATACGCCTCATTTTCGATGAGAATGGCTGATTTCGTACATAAAGCTTTGCTTTGGAACTCGATTAGAGCGCAGTATTCGCTTTTTTTCGCCTCCGATTTGATATCTGCTATGTAGCCGAGTTTCCTTCTCATTACTTCTACTCTGACATGGTAGTTGTAGATGCACACTTTGATGATGAAAGCACTCTTTTGATGGAGCAAGATGATTTTGTATTTGGTTCTGCAGCAGGCGGTTTTTTTGAGCTTCGTCTGGAAGTTCTCGATGAGGATCTTGATCTTCTGTGAGTAAACTGCGATGATATTATGCGACGACTGCAGGTGAGTAGAGAGTTCTTCGAAAGGAACTGTGCAGCAGTTGGCAGTGATGGGACACGACATCGTGTCATATTTGCAGTCTTCTTCGTGTTTGACCCTCGTAGATGCTGTGAGCAGTTCTGTGCAGCCACGTCTGTTAACAAAAAAAATGGTTAAGGTAAAATATTTTTAAATGTGAAGCTGAAGCTTAAGAACTATTTATAATTGGAAGTCTTCTACAGTTGCAAAAATATTGCGGCTAATTCTAAATAGCAATATGTTGTACTTCAATTTTATTTTTGATCGTAACATTGGTCATCGGGTATTAGGATTTATCTAGGTTTTCTTATCTATTTTAGGTATAATAAGTTTTTTAGGACCTATCTGTTCAACAAATGACTCCACCCTGTTTTAAGTGACGGTGGTGTCCAGAAGCAAGGATGGCTGATTCTCATCGAGCAATAAATCGATACAACTTTTGATTATACAAATTGTCGACGATTGCGATTTGTTTGACAATTAAATTCATCAGTACAACTATGCGTATAAGAAACCTTTTAATGGTAATTTAACTACAGGAAATTATAATAGTGATTTCTTTAATAATTATCTTCATCAAGAGAAACAAAAATTACAAGCACTATAGGTAATAAAAGAGCATGAAGTTAACAACTAAAGTTATTGAATAGGTACTTTTGCAAGTAGTTAATAAAAAAGTATTTAATGTTTCCAGTTGATTAATTGAATTTCTAATAAGCAATAAACAGATGCAGGGAATATGAGAAACCCGTTATGTTAATAGTACTTAACTCATAACTCGGCAGTATTTACGACTCTTTTGAAGGAATAACTTGAACAGCGCAAGCACCAAGAACGCGTCTGTTTATTGTTATATATTCTGCTATGTGTTCATTAACGGAGTTGTCACATTATAACTTAAAGATCGCATGCCAAATTTCCTGAATTTGAATTTCCGGTAAGAAATTGAAAATTTGCAATTTTAGGGTCTTTAACTCAGAGAGAATTAAACGAACTTCCTAATAACATTCTTAATAGCAATTAAGTGTGTAAAACAAGACTGATATACAAATTTTGACTTACTAATGAAGTTACTGGTAGCTATCTTAATGCAAACTTATATCACCGAATTTCCAAATTGATGTACAGTTACTTTGACCTGATTGAAATTACTAGTGGGTGTGGGTGATTAATTGATATTTCCTCTGCTCCTACGAGAACCCGACATCCTCTTTATTTCCATATGATCAATAAATCAAAATCGATCCAGTTATTCAGATGGAACATATTAAATATTTACCATTGGTGTTTATAATTACTTTCGGATTTATTATGTTAGTGTGGATTTAGTAATAGTAATTTTGAATGCATGATAGAAATGGATCATTTCAAACGTTTTGTGGACGTTGTCAGTTATAAATAAGTTTACATAATTTAATAATTAAACCACGCCTTGATGATTTGGCATTGGTCAGGTCGAAGGTTGTGTAAAGACATATAAATAAATATGTTAGTAATCATGACTTGAAAAAAAAACAAGGACATATACAGAATACAATCTCTTCGCTTCAAATCAACCCTGAAGCAGAGATATAACAGTTTTTATTATTTGATCTCATCAGGGATTATTTATTTTATGTTTTTCATATCAATAAAAACATAAAAGAAATAAGTAGAGGAAGGTTAACTCAAAAATTACATAATAACTATCCAATTCGCTATTAATTTTTTTAAGAGTATGAAGAGTAAGAGTGTCCCTAAATATTGATAATGTTCATAAGAATTTAAAGAATATCTTTAATGTGAGCAACAGTCGTATAGAAATGTGGTCTTCTATATTTTCGCTTCATTATAAGTTTAAGAGAGAGCATTACCGTTCGATATACCTACATATAAAGAAGAAAGATAGTCAATTGCCTACGGCGTCTGTCCGTTTCATGGAAGTCATCAATGCTAGCTTAATTTGTCCCAACGATAATATTTAACGAAGGCTGTGTAAACCCGTGCAGTGGACATAAAAGATACCCTCCGATATTTTCTTGGATGGATGGTACTGATCTAATATTTGTTTAGTTGTTCAATGTTATTTTTATGTATGGCGGGACAGAGTATGTTTATAAATCAACAATTCTAAGGTTTCGTTCTATGGAAGTATGTTTTTCATTTGAATTGAACTAAAATCAATTGGGTAACACTAGAAATTATCCAAAATAAGTTGGATATTAAACAATAAAAAAACTAAAATAATTGTGTTATCCTAAACTCAGTAGCGTCCCAAGACTATACAATATTGTCAAGTCAGTACTTGAAAATAAATAATTTTGATGCCATCATACCATTGAAGAATTACTACTCTATATACGTAAATCCATTTGTATTCATGCAATAATAATTCATACCTGCTTCAATCAACTGCGTCAGTTAATTACAAATGTTAATGTCCCAACGGACAAGGAAACTGACGGGCAATCATTTACGTGATGCGGATTACAACGGAATTGATGCAAACTCTAAACATCAAACATTAACAATGAGACAATGAACAAAGGATTCGTTTGATACGTCAGCTAATAAATTATTTTACACACAGATTATATTAACAGATAATATTTTTTCACAAACATGCTTGGAAATGTAAACATTATTTTGACAATCTTCTTAGAGATCAATTGAATTGCTGTACTGGCCAGATATATGCGAGTAGCTGACGGTAAAAGTTTATAGTAAACTCATATCTTTCTTTTCATTTGAAAATGGAACGGTCTTTTATTCCGAAAAATGGCAATGAAGGAGGTAAGTTACTAGAGTTTTAATTTAAATTTATAACACGGGAAAAACAGTTGTTATTCGTCATTGATTTTCTAGATTTTCGACAGTTCTGCCAAGGCACAACATAGTTTTATTTTCCGAGCATTATTTGCGAAATGTACTATACAAGCATTGGCCACAACTAGACATTGATGGACTTACGTATGTGTACATTTACACGTTCGTCCATCAATGCCTCTTTTGCTGGCGGCTACATTGCGCACTAATATACTATTTCTTAATTATGATTTTAAAGAACGATCTCTTTTTTATTATCGCGATAGTTTTCGATTTTAACAGGTCCAGTTATATTTTCAAAGGATTAAATAATTTCACCCGTATTTCCTACTGCAATTAAATTATTTCCAAAATTTATTCTTCCCTCATCGTCATCAGCCTTTTAATGTCCCCACAGCTGGGGCACAGGTATTCCCTATTGATGGAATAGGCAGATTGGGCAATGATCCACCACTCGTGCCCAGTGCGGATTGGTGGGTGCTAACGACTGCAGATGCAGCCGGGACCAACGGTTTCACGTCCCTTCTAAAGTATGGAGAAACTCGAGATAATAAATCCTTGATCACTCATCCAATTATCGCAGCCGAAAGCGCTGACCACTTGCGTAACCGAACTCCTAAAATGTATTCTTTCGTTTACCTGTAATTCCGGCACGGCAGCATCAGGTCGTTGACCAGCCTCTGTAATGCGAGGCAGGGAGCAGCTGGGGCCCGCAATGTACCCCTACACCACGCGCATCGTGACATCCTACGGGAACACCGCGCGCACCAGACGCCTCCGCACCAGGGACAGACGCAAGGCCCGCAACACTGCAATGAGAATTAAAGAAAATATATTTATTGGGCCATAAATTATATAGGTCTACTACCCGACAAACATCTTGAGCAACTACCTTAGACAACCTGTGCAGTAACAATTTAACATACAAAACGTCTCCTGCGCAAGTTCGTCGGTAGTTTTGTTCAAGAAGTTTGCCGCGACCTTCACCACCTATACAAGAGAATTAGGGATCAATGTCTCTCCAAATTGGAGCAGCCCGTCTGGGATGGTAATTAATACTGCCTTTTGGTGTAAACTGATACAATATAACTCCGCGGGGTTGGGGATTGGATCAGAGTGGGCAACGTTGCGAGTGGTATCGCAAGCATCTATGGCTATGGTAGCCGCTTACCATGAGATGGGTCATACGCTTGTTTGCTTCCCTTTTAACATAAAAAAACAATGTTAAAAAAATCTGTAAGTACCACAAAACATATGCCATCATAGTTAATATTTTGCCCGAAAACGTCTTGATATCATCGATAGAAGAGACCATTTAAGGTTAGACGCACAAGCTATAACAGACAACATTTGGTCAAGGTTCTTTGGTGGGTGCCATAATGACTTAAGGAAAATTTTGATACCTATACAGGGTGTGACAAAAGTCCGAAATAAAACTTAGTGTTTTTTGGAATTACCTACGTAAGTTTGACGCCTTTCAGACCACTTTTATTTTCTAATTAAATTAATAAAAATATCGTTTTACACCTGCCTATGACAACCCTGTAAATGCGTACGATTACTACTACCTAAACAGACCCCCCTCTCTCTCCCAGGCGCCCCTGCGCCCCGCTCAGATACCTACAAATTTTTATATTGGAATACATACCTACAAATTTTATTTCGGAATTCTGTTACACCCTGTGTACTTCAAAAAGTGTTGGTAACTTATGTAGGTATCTAAGATTTTGTAATTAAATTTTTAAGGCTTTTATTAATAATCAAATTTTTATCTTCAAGCATTTTCAATTTAGCTCAATATTAAGCTCTAAGTACTTTATTAAAATTATAATTATATCAAAATATTTGCTTGCTTCCGAGAGTCAATTGGAATTTTATTAGCATAAGATAACATTTAACAGTAAAGCTTACCGAAGTCGTAAATACACTTGGAAACTTTAATATTATCCAAATTAAGCTAATACCAATTTTAGATAATTCAAGACAGAGCTATCTCCGCACGTCTAACGTTTCGTTTTATTGAGATCGTTTGATTAACAACTTAATTAATAAGTACCACAAGCACAGTTTCAAAGCTACTACCAATAGATTATCTTGAATCTGACAAAAGCCACAATTTAATCCTCCTGATGGCAAACAGATGTCTTAAAGATGCAAACGGTAGAAACTATGATTAATTTGCACCAAATCTTGAATTATGTCAGGAGCTTCTTAGTTATGATATTTGAACAACAATAAGGCATTAGGATTCGTATTTGAATTCTTCGAAATATTATCTTGTTCTTTAAAAATTTTAAACATTTTTTTGGTAATATTTGCCTTGGGATAAGTAAGGTACGCAATTAGGTTGAATTAAGACAGTATAATAAAATAATGTTGTAGGTTGAGTCAGGAATACAAGTTTGGGTTGAATAAGGAAATGGGATGAGACGTCCTATAATGATTACGGATATGTTTAAATTTCGTTTAGAAGTTCGGTGTAGTCGATTTGGTCAAGTCATCCTTTGTGTGAAAAGGGAAGCAGACAAACATCATGTCCCATTTAATGGAGGGAGGCAACAATAGTCTTTTATATTAAAAAGGTTTCCATTTATCACAATTTGGTCACGGAACCCTTAAAGTAAACCTCTGAGAGTAAGGTAGCATTCAGCAGGAATGAAAAATGAATCCAATTCATAACCAAGTTTTTTTTTTATACGAGGCGCAACAAATTACCCCAATCCACCTGAAGTTAAACTGTAAGTGGAATCCAGTCGCGAAAATAGATGATGCGAATCCAGCCATCCTCACCTAGCCGGTCTGAACTCATCCCTTACCCCACGGAAATCTGGAACCCTACTGATCAGCAGAAACACAAAACCACCAAAAGGTAGTGTTATTTTACTGTGGTCTTCTATAAGGTAGAGGTTACTTCGGGCGCTCCAATTCGAGCGGAAAATCCGCTGTGCCCTACAAGTTACAATATTTGGAGTAATCGTAAAGCATTTGTGCATTCAGACAGTGGGAAAATGCATTTGTCAATAAAAAGATTGCAATGTTAAACCACGTAGAACGTTTACATAACATGAATCACGTATTTGATGTGGGAATTGAATTGCGAAGGTCAGTGCAGTGTCTGTTTACGTTGTGAACGAAGTGCCATCATGTGGGTAGTGGCAATACTATGATATTGGTGATAAACATCGTTCAAGTTAATTAAATTTTTTTTATCCGGTACCGCGGATGACCCTGGGAAGAGCATACGGAAAACAAAGTATTATAAATAGTTTTCCAGAAGAGTGAATTCTAAATTACTTAAACTTTATCAAACAAACGCCTTACATTGTTTGATTCTTTTAATAAATTCTAAACAGCATTTGTTAATCGAGCAGTCAGTCATCTCTTTGATTTGCAGATTTTTCTAAAGCCTCGATTTAATTTTTAATGGGATTTAAGTACCACAGCTAGGGTTTCTGTAAATTTCGCTTAAGCATAGTAAGATTCTTTTGAACTATATCAAAGTCTGTTACCCACCTAATTTTCGTTTTTGCTTTCATAAATAAACATCAAACAAAATATAATAAAAAATACGCGTACGTGCGTTGTAGCACGAAAGATGATGCTAATAAATTTGGTTGGAATAACAACGTAATTAAAACCCATATCGATTCTAAAATTTGAATCATAAAGAAACAAAAGAGTATTATTTAGTTTGTATTTTGTAAGGAATTAATATGGAAAATTAATTTATGGAATATTTATGAATTAAAATTTTCGCAGCTCGGGGATATAAAAGCTAATGTAGTCGTGATGAATAGAACTAATGTTATAAACATGAAAAGGGAGGGTGACTGTTGATTTATACTAATTACGTGGTGACCAAGGACACTCCCATTCTCGCTGTTACTTATTATTATCATTGTTAGTCTAGCTTAGTTCACATCAGTCTAGATTCAAACCAGCGTCTATTCAGCCCAATTCACTGACCTTAATAGTGTATTTTTAAAATGCTGATGATTCATTAATAAACAATTCAATTAAAATAGACGCCTAAAGGGGAAATTTGCAGGTCCGCAAGGTGGGGATGACCGTTAAAACTGCTGCACTATCTTTACGTCTGGACTCCATCGTCACTCATCATCAGGTGTGGTTAACCAATTGCTCCGAACAGAATCATCCCAATCTTTGTTATTTGGAGTGTTAAAGACAATTTAGAAAAAAAACTAACCTGTAACGGTTCTAGGCATATACTGCATTCTGAAAATCGTGACAGCATTTCATCACAGTTGGGACATGAGCACTGGGCCGCATGAGACTCTTCTGATTGCACCAGCGCTGGACTGTCGACTAGAGACAGGGACTTATCTGGAAACAAAGGAAAACAACGTTAAAAGCAATTTATAATGGTTATTTGAGTCGGCTTATGAACATGATGATGACGGTGTAGGTGTAACTGATAAATATACTTATTTTGATACAAATCACGTAATACGAAAATCAGATAGGTACTATTGACCAGTTAATAATGACATAAAGATTCTATTTTTACTAATTCATATTTGTTTATGCCACATTTTATCTAAAATTAGCTCCATTCTACTATTTGAGAAGATGATTATTTAAAACCGTATTAATTTAAATGTAAATTTATTGCTGTCGTTTATTTCTGTTTCAAACTTGATATCGTGTATATATTTGCACAGTTTTAACTCAAGTACTTCTAGAGTAAGAAAGGTAATGTTTTAGATTTCATATCAATAAAGCATTAACTTATTACTCATGAATCAAACAAAATTATCAATTTCTTCGATTGCGTTATTGCAAAATGAAACACTGCTTCATTGCACCTTCAAGGATCATTCAATATAAAGAATATCAGATAAGGCAGTGTTGTGTCATTTCTACACGATTGGACAATAAAACGATACTTTGATCGATGATATCTACTATTATAATTCGCGATTATTTTAATGGCGTAATTGACAGGTTATAGTCAGACATATCTATGACGACTGAGCTAAAAATATAGCTATTACAACTAGAAGCGTAAGTAATATCAGTTGTTAGCTACACCATCTGATGTATTCTTTGTGCACCAAAAATATTATTTGCATTGCGTAATTATCATGATCATTATCAGCCACTTATTGTCCAACTCTAGACATAGGTCTCCTCTAGTTCCTTCCATTATCTCAGTTTTGTGCCTTAAGTATTCCGTTTTTACCCACATATATTATGATATCATCATTCACTCATCTCTGAGGGTCTCTATTCTAATAAAACTTGAAATCATATACCTTGGTAATTTTTTTAAATAGGAGGGTTTCACTATATATTGACACTCCATAGTCTGATTTTACTATGTAATAACTCAATAATATTGAAGTTCACCAAAAAATACATTTGCTTAAAATTAAAATCTCAGATAGGTACCTTATAAATGTAAGTGGTTTTTAAGATGGATTTTACAGTTATCAATCTTACAGACTATTACTCTTTGACAATTTAAATCTTATTGTGAAACAGTGAGAATGCTTGAAATTATTTAGTAAATAATTTTCATTAGAAGAGACTGTATTTTTATTATCATTAAGACATACATAGATTTTCTTAAAGATATAAATGTAAGCAGTTACCGACATATGTAGCCGCTGTTCTAGATTATCAAATAGTACGAGCCTTTATGATACAATTACTCGTTTGAACATCTCTGAGCATATTGGTAATGTAATATCTCATATAACCATTGTGCAAGAAATGTTTAAAACTATGTCAGACAACAAAAGTGAAAGGCTTAAGGCCTAGTCACCAACATGAACTCTGCGACTGGTCCCTAATACCTAATGGCTGTTTATTATGGGAATTCTCTATTTTAGCAGTTTTAAAACGAACTTGTAGTTGGATGTCGTTAGTGGGTTCATTATTATTAGTTATTGAGATAAATGATACATCTATCGAAAAAGGGGCTTATTAATAAACAAAAGCTTTTCGTGATGAAATTGAAAACGTTGATAACGAATAAAAAATATTGATTTCTACATTGACCTTACAGAATATAATATTACTCAAGACCAAAAAGTCCACGACGACGCCAATTTTGTTTCGCTCGCAGCGTAGACGCTGAAGAGGATTTTATATAAATCTGTCTAATCGTCAGCGAGATAAAAGAGAATAATTTGAAACTTTTCACAATACATATTATTAGTATTACACAAAATGTTCTAAGAACATTTTGTATCTTTGCAGAAAGTATCATTTAAAGCAATTCTAGTATTGAAGTGGACACATTCATAAAATTGCGTGTCAGCTTGCCTGTTTCACACAACTCGGTTCAGCAGTCAAGGTTGACCAATCGTTACGTCATGATAAACCAAACCTACGTCGTGTCAACATTCAACAGGTTTGTGCAAACCAGACAGCTCCAACGACACCCGCTACACGTGCCCCCGTTTCGATTCCTAAAAGTTTTTTACAGTTATTCTCAATAATAAGACTCCACAGAAAAATGGAAACTGTAACAAATCGTAAGAAAACGCTCTTGACATTGTGTCGCAAGATGACGTGCTTTCAATCGATACACAGTTAGACCATTTCCTCAATATTACAACGCTTTGTTATTTTTTTCAAGATTCCATTATAATTAAGTTTTGATATCAGAAAAAACCATCAACCAACAATTGCAAAATAATGATTTCAATTAATCGATTATAATAATTATTATCATTTGATTTCATTACATCATCGAATCACAAAATATGTGATGATTTCTTAGTGATTTATTTCAATTTATAACTGCTAGCTAAATATGTCGATATAAGTAAATATATGGTCATACATACTTCGTAGCAGTTACCGTTGGTGATGTTGATGTAACACGATATGATTATATAACGAAGGCGCCTACACACATATGCATGTAAAATTAGTGTCAAGGCAACAGCGATGCCAAAAGGTAGAATTACTTCTGCAACTTAAAAAGACCTTGCAAACATTCAATGTCAGATTGATGTTTCGTTTAAGAATTAAGTAATAGCAGCGTTGGAAGACCAAATCTTTAAAAGGTCAAACTTGTTTAACAGAATAACTCATTACATAGCTTGTATAATAAGTAATTAAGATTTGTGAATAGATGATGCAATAAAACTTAAATGATAAAGAGTAATAGATACAAATGTGCATAAAAAGAGATTCCAAATTGCTCCTTGCGGAACTCCATAAAATTATTTAATCTTATTCTCTTAACTATATTTTTAAGAACGAATGCAATAATGCTATGCTTATAAAAACAAAATCACAACTGCCATTTTAGGAAGGCATACTCAGAAAAATGCTGATTCACTGTTTAATAGAAATCTTAAATTAATTCTTGATATCTGGAATATTTTATAAACGATTCATCGGTAACTTCTTCCGTTATTTGGCCCAAAATGTGCATGACTAGTTTTGTGCCCGATGATACTGTCTTCGCTGACGCAAATTATTGAAGCAATAATTTTAAGACGTTGCAGAAGAATGAGTTTTGTAAAAAATATATTTTTTGAATAATTATGCTATTCATTAGTATGATCAACATACAAACTTAAGTAATAAGATAAAATATTTAAATAATGATGAATTTGATGATGGTACCGCGAGTTTTTCAGTGAAATTGAGATGACTGTACACTGTTATCAGATGACGATACAATTAATCACTGTATTTCCTTTTACACTTTAGAAACTTCATCATCATAGATTCTACGTCACTTAACTGTTTGAACAGTGATTTAATAATTAACGATAGCCGAGGTTACACAACTGATGTTGTTTTTTTTTATAAAAGCTTTCAGTGCATTTAACCACTATCTCACCTGGAGACCTACTCTAATTCAACGAAAAAAGAAATTTCGATCGAAACTTCGCACTTTTCTTACTATGTTTCTGGTTCGTTTTTAATTATAATAATATTCGGCATAGAATATAGATTGAGATGTAGATTTTCAAAGCCAAAAAAGCTTGAATAAACTTGATAAACTATCAAGTTTATCGTTCAATTTAAGTATAACCTTAAATTGACGAAATTAAAATTCATTTGAACTTCGTTATCGAAAGTTCATTTCGGAGAAAGAGAGTAGACTCCCTGATGTTAAGCAACGATGAGTCTTAGCAGGAGCACGCAAACCCAAATAATGCCTATTCGCTACTGCCTTATAGGTCCCTATATTATATGTATGGGAGAATACAGAGGCAAGAAGGAAGCTTAATTCCCTAGCGGTTCGTATGATAAAGGACGAATCGTGAGGTGCGCAGGGGATCAAGGACAGTGACGAACTGGAGGAGGATCATGGCCACTCAACTCCATCCTCGACCACATAACCTCCACTCAGGATACCCTCTCTGTGATCGGAGCCCTCTCGAGTCATCTCACTTCCGCGAGGTGTCCCGACAGATTCCAGCGATGCCAGACCATCGCTGCAACCTACCGTACGACGCTAGAGAGCTGTTAAGGGCAAAGAACGCTGCCACTAGAGCATTCGACACCTACCCCACGGTCGACAACCGCTCTCGATTGCATGCCTTGCAGCGTGCTGTTAAGGCGCATGAAGGAAATGCGGGAGTCTAAGTGGGATAAGTACTTGAAGAGATGTCGCCATCACACCAAGCTTATTGGAAGCTGGCGAGATCCTCCAAATCAGAGATCGAATCCTCTGTGCCTCCGAAAAGGCCGAATGCCTGGCCGACAGCCTGAAGATTATTATTTGAATTAAAAAGTTTCACTGATATCGTGATACGCTCTATTACATTCGATTTATAGTATCAGTAAATAACATTAACTTTATTCCATTATATAGGTATTTATACACGGGCAGCCACGCTATACAGCAGTTTATCATATCCAATTTAATATTTATCAGATCGAGTTTATGATAGTTTTATATTTATTAGTTTTTTTAAAGAGTATTTTAGTTACCAGTATAGGTACTTATTCTGACATTTCTAAAACTACGAAAATTTTAATAACAAATATGAAGATTAATATCATGATTGATAAAAGTTAAATGTTGCTATCATCATCATCATCATCATCATCATTATCAGACTATTAATTTCCCCACTGCTGGGGCATAGGCCTTCCCTTTGGATGGAATAGGGAGATTTGGCCATGACCCACTACGCGGGCCCAGTGCGGATTGGCGGGTGCTAACGACTGCAGATGCAGCCTGGACCAACGGCTTAACGTGCCTTCCGAAGCACGGAGGAGCTCAAGATAGTAATTTTTTTTGGTCACCCATCCAATGACCGACCACTGCGAAGGTTGCTTAACTTCAACGATCGCAGCCGAACGCGCTAAGCACCTGCGTCATCGAGCTCCTCATATGTGCTATAGTAAAAGGAACTAATAGTAAATAACATAATCAATCTTTGCTTTGTGTAAAGTTATTTTCGAATCAGCGGATATCATTAATTTTTTTTTTTCTTTAAAACTCAATTTGCAACATTGCCGTGTAATAATAGTCACAGGGAAACACAAAACCGGTTTATGAATATTGACAAATGCCAAAGTAACAACCTCTAAATGGTATTTTGCATGACTGAATGGCGAGATCAGCCAAGTTGTGACGGAGACAGTGGCGCAACTTTGTCATAACTTTTCCTTTTACCTTCAAAGTATCGACTTATTCATATTGTGCTATTGCATTTTGGTATAATGCGATTCAAATAAGAATAGGAAAGCCAATGACCTCTATCTGTCAAATGTCGCTTGAAAAGTACGGTTTGGAAAAAAAAACCTTGAACCCATTTTTAGCACTCCGCTAATTCAAGAATAAAAACCAAACATTTGTAAACAAACAATAACAAATATTGATAATTAATATCGGTTAATATTTTTTTTTTCACTTATTGAGCTTTGGCCATGAATGGTTGATAACCTAAATCGTCAACCAAATGTCACTTTAAGTTGCGTTCAGAAACTCGATTTCAAACTTTCGTTTACATAAAGGATGCATGTTCGTATGTAACCTAGTAATAGTGCATGATTATTCATAACTACTCTGGCGGTAATACAGAGATGAGCGGAATAGAAGAGCTAGATTCTGATTAATGTTTTTTCTAACAGTCTTAATAAATAAATATTATTAAAAGCGGTGGTTTTTGTTTTCTCAATCTTAGTAAATAAATGTTATTAAAAAATTCTGATGCTTTTTCTCACTTAATCTTAGTAAATAAGTTTTATTAAATAAAAACTTTTTTTGCTCACTCTACCTATTTGGTTTGAATTGACAGCTATGACATCACAATATGGCGTCCAGTCGGTCCTATTCTTAGTTGAATCGCATTATACCTATGACCTTTGTTGTGTGTAAAGCAACTTTAATGTTCTTAGCCTATTTTATTATCTTTGTCTGAGGAAGAGCTTGATGACCTTGCGTCAAAATCGAAATGAAATTCATAATGATTAGCGCGTTCGATCTGCGATTGTGGAAAGTACACTTTCGCAATGGTCAGTCATCGGATCGGTGGCCAAAAACTTACAACATCAAGCTCTTCAGTCCTTTGAGGGGCTCGTTAAGCTGTTGTTTCCAGCTGCATCTGCAGTCACTAGTATCTATCAAACCGTACTGAACCAGCGTGATGGGTCATCGCTTAATCTCCCTATTTCATCCATAGCGCAGGGCTGTAACTTTTGTTTTAAGTGTGTATGCCCTAGATGACTTTTACAGCGTTACCGGGCTTAGGAACGGCGAGATCCTAAGGAGACCTTAAGCCGAGAATTGGCGGGTGCCTCTAGAGGTATTCCAGGCGGATGGCATCTCTCCACGGGGGGACTCTCCACTCCGTCTGGAGCTTCTAGACCATTCAAACCTGAGGGGGTCGGCTCAACTAGAGGGCGTCTCTGAGACCTCGGTATTAGTTAGCCGTTGTCGTGGGGGGTGGGGGCTGTACTTCGTGACTATCTGTATCTATTACGTCCATCTAAGAAGTAGTGGGCATGAAACTGTGTCTCTTATGCATAAGTATGTACAAAAAGATGGCATATTAAATGAACAAGGCTGACCTTGACATGTAACTAGTAATGAGCAACAATAGAAATCCTGTCAACCGTGTGTTGTTTCTTTTTTACAAATTTATCTTCTTTCCCAATTACGCTTTGAACAATAGCCATTGTTTTATAGAAAAAGTGCAGGCAGTCTGCAACTATTTACGTACATTTGGAATGTGATAAATTTTCTATTATTGTAAATACATGGAGGTCATTGGCGCGCTGCAGCAGCCCTCGTGTTGCTGTAATATTAAGCTCAGGCAGGGACCTAGTTGTCATTTTTTGGCTTGTTTTATTTATGTTAATATGGCTATGTGTAAGGCTAGTAAAATTTATTTCCTGCTTTTTCTATTTCTATTATTTTATTAAATAAAAAGTTGTAGTTTCATTTATAAACATACTTTGAATCTTACGTGTTGCATTATAAATATAAAATTGTACCGGTTGAAACACGCACTTGTAATAAAGCTTTTAGTACCTTCTTTATCCCGACATGTTGACCCAGTCGCCCCGTGACCACGACTGGTATAACCTGGTCGAAAAGTCGGATTAAAGAAGGTATGAAAACCTTTATGACAAGTGCGTATCTTGACTTGTGAAACATCATTCATTCTTAAATACTTTTAGGAAAACGAAAACAACAAAGTTGGCCATAAATAAATATTCAAGTTATCGAAATTTACCTTCAATTTCTACATTTTCACTGCTAGACGAGTCTGATGAGTCATCTTCTATTTTCTTCTCTGACACTATCGTGAGACTATTCTCCCCGCACTCTGTGGCATGGGATCTTTTGTCTGTCACCGAGTGAAACTGTGAACAAATAGATACGGTTTCCATTAGATACTGTAGTGTTGACATGGAAGAAGTAGAACACCGCGAGTTTTCCGGTTGAATTGGAGCGCCCGTTTGGGGAAGCACCATCCATCTTACAGAAGATCAAGGTAAAACAACATTAGCTTTTGGTGGTGTTGTGATTCTGCTGGTTAGTAGGGTTCTGAGGTTCCGTGGGTTAGTGGAGTGGGTTCAGACCAGCAAGACGAGGATGACTAAAGTTGCCGCATCATCTATCTTCGTGACTAGACTTCACTTACACTTAACATTAGGTGGGGTGGTGTAGTTTGTGGCTTCTCGTATAATAAACATATTGTTATCAAAAAATGATCCAAGAGAATCAGCAGAAACTTGTATGTTGAATCGACCAAGAAGAATACAGGCTATATAAGAGTAAGATAAGAAATAGAATTTCGTTTTCTTTACCCTGTAGTCATTATCCCTATTTTAATGCATTTTGATAATGTGGATAAAGAAGACTTTTAAGAAGGCTATATTTTAAGAAAGGTGAAACAGATCATGGAATCTTGTATAGAAAACTCCTTATTCAATGCCGACGAAGTTGCACCACCTAGCATTGAAAACTTTTAATTACACATTTAATAAATACTTCAAACTGATTGTAGAAAATTTAACTAAGAAAATTAATAAGATACTCAAGTTCTATCAAGTTTATCGTTTAATTTTACAATTAAACTTAACACAATATTTGTAAGACGTGACTGTTCGGAACAATGTTTAAGCAATTTACTTAATATACAGAATTAACAATGTGTCTGAAACTCGATATCTTTATTGGACTGGTTAAATTGTTTTGTAATTTAAAACAGCCTTTGATCAGCGCAAAGGTACTTTCCCCCAAGTGAATTAATGCCACAAGGCTGTCTTATGAGATTGTAGATGTAAATGCACGATAGAGTGTTTGCACAATATTGAGTGTTTTCATGGTTAACTAAGGCCTAGACTAATGCACTTATAACACTCCATTGCTTAGCAGAACAATAAAAGTTACGAAAAAAAAAACTTGGATCATTAAGTTTACTTGCGTTAGACTACGACTTTTAGTGGTGTAATGTTGTCGTAAGTTGCCATTAAAAAGTTTAGCGGTAGAATGGTTTGCCTTGTCTTTTTGCTATTAAAAACTGTTTATTAAAATAGTGACAGAAATAGAGAAGAATCGTACCAGGCATCCGCTCTCAATATTAATTGTGAATGTCTTCATTTGAATCTTGGCGTGCGTAAAAAAGTGTGGTAAAAGATAAACAAAAACGTGGTTATGATTTGCCAGTGTCAATCAACTGCCCCAGCGAGGCTAGTCAAAGTTATAGTAAAATTTAACTTAAACTTTAAATGGCTCTGTGTTGTTACTCACACCAATAATGGTTAATGAATTCAGCAAATAAAATGGTTAAAACAAATCTGATTATGTAACCGGTGTATTTGAAATAAAAATTTAAAAAAGTCCGCTCCAATTTGTTTTTTTTTTTGCATTCACAAAATATTTTTTTTTATCTCTAAATTTCATTCAGTTCTCTCACAAACCGACCTTCTTTACCATCTGAATCATACTATAGTGTTGAAAACCGCTTTTGTTTTAGACGACCGTGAAAAAATAAAACATCATACCACCACCCACTGGACCGACCGGTTTTTTTTACGGGCGGTGTCGGGTTCGAATCTTTGTCGAGGACCGGTTAGTGCGATGTATAAAACCCCCTCAAGAAGTCCAGTTAATTGGAGCAAGTTTCATGCGTTTCTAAGGATCCGTTTTGTGTTGTAAGTAGATATGTTTTTTTTTTATGTCGAGTGGTAAAACCGCCTTTGTTTAAGATCAAGCTTTATGTGACTCATATAAGGCTGCAGGCAGGATTTTGACATTAAATTTTACAACACAGTCGTAAAATGCAATGCTAGGTTAATATGGTACCACGAAGGATATATAAATCAACTTAAGTTTGAATATGTTAAAATTTGACAATTAAGGCTGTGAGCCATTTAATTAAAGATAGCAGGCAGAAATTTTAAGGAGGTGCTAGGTGTTATTAATGTCATTGAACTAAAAATGATGGTTTTTAAAATATTGTTTGGATGAAAAGTCAAACTCATTTCATTAGTTCGCTCCGAAACTTCAATTAAAAGTCCTGTTAGAGTGACGCTGACAACTAAAATTTCTTAAAAAATCGTTATTTAATAAAAAAAAAATAAAGCTTTGTTGACATATGTATCTAAAGTTTGTGTGTCAAAACAGCGACATAGTTTGACATAGTTTTTACACAATCATTGGGTAATAGATAAAAAAAACCGCATGTTATTTTCTTTTATATGACATAAATTATTACCTTAAAAACAATACGACAGGTGATTCGTGAAAAAGCCATATAAAAAACCTTGTCGTGCCATTACATGACGATAGGTCATTGATCGGGACCGGTTCGCCATATGTTACCATTCACGAAACTAATTATGTAATCTATTTCACACGTACTAGAAGTTATAATCGTACAGCACTCGCAAATCTTGCTTCGAGTATTGTAATTTACGCTTACTGGTTTTGTAAATAAGGTCAAAAGTTGTGTTTGTAAATTACGTCGGTTTTGCTATCAATAACAGCTGCAGTGCACACGTTTTTGATACATAAACATAATATGTATTTATGTTGCTGATACATACTTGTTTTTGATGACCGGTTTGTGAAACAGTAGTATCCTGTTTTCAGGCCCAAAGTCCTGGGGTCACATCTCTATAGAGAAGATATGTACCTTGTGTAAAAATTTTGATCTTAATTCTCATTCAGGAAGAGCTTGATGGCGCAGGTGACTACCGCGTTCAGTTGCGATCGTTGAAGTTAAGCAACTTTCGAAATGCTCAGTCATTGGTTGGGTGACCAAAAATTTACTAAATCGAGTTCCTCCGTGCTTCGGAAGGCACGTTAAGCCGTTGATTCCGACTGCATCTGCAGTCGTTAGCACCCGCCAATCCGCACTGGACCCGCGTGGTGGGTCATGGCCCAATCTCCCTATTCCATCCATAGGGAAGGCGTGTGCCCCAGTAGTGGGGACATTAATAGGGTGATGATGATGATAAGATATATACAGCTGTACATATCTACTGAATCAAAATTACATAGGAGCTAGCTCGTACTCTACCTGTCTTAAATAAATGTTGTTATTTGCGTAATTTTTGTGTTAAATAATATCGTTAAATTAATATTTTATTAACAGGAGATATGATAAAATACTGTTTGTTTCAAATCTTCCTCAATTTTAGGGCGGAAAAACAGCTCTTATCGAATTTTGCCTAAACGTTAAACTCTAATTTACATATAATTTTGTAAAGGTATTATCCCTGTTTGACTAATTAAAACATAATGACTACCTATTTTAATAAATTAAATTCGACCACATCAGCCTATCTATCAACAACAACAAAATGTCCGTATAATTCTGAATCGAAATTTAATATTTTTATGAACATGAAACGGATATTAAACAGTATTCGTATGGTCCTATTTATATATGTAGGTACTGTTATTATCATTGTCCGAGGGTTAAATAATATTTAAATTACACAATAAGTTATTATAGACGGTTTTCACAGCAATATATATACATACATATACATATATAGATATATATTTTCTACACAAAACAGTTAAAATCATTTTAATATCACCAAAAATATCCGGTCATAGGGTGCGGCCAGAGTGCACTCAGATTCAGATTCAGATTCAGATTTCGAAAACAAGCGCGAGAAGTCTAGTCTCTAGTCTAAGCAGGTTGCCTGCTTTTTCTCGCGTTTTGTTTTCTGAGTCTGAATCTGAGTCTGAATCAGGAGTGCACTCTGGCCGTACCCTTCGACTACACTGTTTATTTCTCGCGCTTTTTTTCGAAATCTGAATCTGAATCTGAATCTGAGTGCACTCTGGCCGCACCCATATCCCACATAACTGTAAGCATATGAACTTACTTACTTGCGAGCCGCCGTAGCTTAGGAATAACATACATATCTTTATATATATAATTCTTCTGTGAGTGTGTATGTCACTGAACTTCTCTTAAACGACTGGACCGATTTTGATGAAATTTTTTGTGTGTGTTCAAGGGGATCTGAGAATGGTTTAGATTCACAATTTTGTCCGCTGGACAATGTTTTTTTAGTTATTTTTTTTTATGGCGGTACGAAGTTCGCTGGGTCAGCTAGTACATATATATAGATATATATTTACTACTCAAAACAGTTAAAATCATCTTTATATCACCAAAAATATCCGGTCATATCCCACATAACTGTAAGCATATGAACTTCAACTTGGTCGCCGTAGCTTACGAATAAGAAAATGAATAATGAAAATACACAATACTGATTTAAAAGTCATTTGTAATACGAACTTGGAATACATTACTACAAATCAGATTTACTTTGCTAACATAATATAATATAATAGTAACATAGGGTAGTGCATTTATTAGCAGTGGTTATAGATCCATTACGGGAATCTTCATTGAAGTCATTTTGTTTATAAATACAATTTGTTAATATAAATTCTAGATTGGGTTACCGGTATATTTATTTTATCTTTTTGAATTAATTTGTTACATATTAATTATTTAAAAGCTTTTGGTTGCTTGAGTCTTTAAGTATTCGTGATTATGCTAAGATTTTGCTTCACTCCAAGAAGCTGGTAGAGGTATTGGAAAGCGCAGTAAATGCACTATAATATGCTGCAATATGCACTTGCGACATCTGAAATATTACCATATGAGTAAAGTAAGCTCAGAGGTGAAACGTCATTCAGTGCACGTGAGTGAGTGAACTTCAGAACAAGAAAGAGGTTTAATTCAACTCATATAGTTTTTACATAAAGACCAAACAGTGAAAACTATTATGTTGCTTGAAACCAAAGAAGCTGTGAACAGCGCGCGTCCAGCTAAACGTCAAATTGGATACCTTTAAATGGCTTGTGGATTCCTTGGTTACCT